AGTAGTAGTAGTAGTAGTAGTAGTAGTAGTAGTAGTAGTAGTAGTAGTAGTAGTAGTAGTAGTAGTAGTAGTAGTAGTAGTAGTAGTAGTAGTAGTAGTGGTAGTAGTAGTAGTAGTAGTAGTAGTAGTAGTAGTAGTAGTAGTAGTAGTAGTAGTAGTAGTAGTAGTAGTAGTAGTAGTAGTAGTAGTCGTAGTCGTAGTAGTAGTGCTTGGAGGAGGAGGAGCAAGAGGAAACGGTGCAGGAGGCAGAGGAGGAGAACAGGAGGAGGAGGAGGATGGGGAGGAGTGGGGTAGGAGGGCAAGGAGTGGGAGTAGGAGGAGGAGGAGGAGGAGGACGAGGAGGATTGGATGAGGAGGCGGAGGATGAGGAGAAGCAAAGCGAGGAGGAAGACGATGAGGAGGAATGACATAGAATTCGAAAGGGTATCGTGCACGAAGAGAAGGAGGATGAATGCAGGAGGAGAGTGAATTGAGGATGCATAAGTGTGAGGATGGAAATGGAAGCAGAGGAACAGGAGGAGCAGGATGATGAAGAATATGTGGAAGTGTTGAAGTGGAGGGGGGTCGGAAGAGGTGTGGAAGAGCGGGAGGAAGTGGTTGAGGTGAAGGAGGAGGAGGGGCATGAGGAGGAGCAAGAGGAGACAGTAATGATGAGGCGGAAGTGGGTTGGAGAAATTTCAGGACGAAGATGATGAGGAGGAGCGGCAGAACATACGGCAGGAGCGTTTGCTTCGCGCATCTTGTCGCCGGCTCTGCCCCACCACGCGTCTTCGCGACACGCTAAGCACGTCCCAGTTTCCAAGCGTCAAATTCCCGAACTTTTCCCAGCCCCCCGTCCAACGAAGCAGAGCTACACGCTATCAGCTTACAAGGCGTCGCGTATCCCAAGGGGCCGCTTCCGTGACACCTGAAGGAGCCCATGCTGACCTCAAGGAATACGAGGAGAAGGACTATGAGGAGGATCGGAGAAGGCCATTCCCAACACATCTGGTCGGGTCTGCAGGGTATGCCACATATATATATATATATATATGTATATATGTATATATATATATATATGTATGTAGATATATCGATATATATATCTACAAGATTGCATAGGCGCTTCGCGCCATGCGCCTTGTTCTGAGCGCTTCCCCAGCAAAGCAATAGATCATCGCCTGCTTCAGGGGGCCCTCGAAGGCCTGGACGGGCGACCGCCGGCTCGTTTCTCTGATATCCTTGGTGTCTGCTGACGCCGCGTTCGCCCGATGCGTCTGCACGCTTGTGCGCAGGAGTGGGGAAGGAATGCTGTTTCTTTCGCGCGCGAAGGAGCTGGCAAACGACGAAGCATCAATATGTTGCGGCGACACTTGTCCATGAACGGGGAAGGGGAAGGGAGCAGGGATGAACGGGGGGCGGAGGAGGCGGAAGGGGGGAGGAGGGGGGGAGACCTGTCTCACTCGATCGAGGAATTTAAACTTCGAGCCTCAAGAGTGAAACCAGGATCTTCGGGTCAGCTCGATGTACTTCGTAGGCGGATGCCGTCTGGTGGGCGTTTTTGGTGCTCTTTTGGCCGTCCGAGGGCCCACTTGAGCCGTCCTGGGGCCTGCTTGGGACGTCTTGGGGAGCTGGGGCCCTCCAGGGGTCTTCTGAAGCCATCTAGGGCTGGCTCTCTTGGGGGCCTCCAGTGGCCTTCTGGGGGTCTCCCATATTTTTCGTGGGTCTCTCTTGGGAGCCTTCTGGGGGCATCTTGGGTTTCGTGTGGCCAGTCTCGGGGCTCTCTGGGGCATTCTTGGGGCCCGCTTGGGCCGTCTTCAAACTCTTTGGGGGGCCTCTTGGGCTGTCTTGGGGCGATTTCTGGGGCCCATCGGCCCGTCTTGGACGTTGCGAAGACCCCAAGAGCGGATATGCTAAACTATACATCTTCCGAACGGAATGGGGCGATATTTGTTTCTTCGGGGCTCTCTTAACGCCCTCTGGGGGCGTTTTGGGGCCTCTTCGGCCGATTTCAGACCATCGAGTTTCCTCTTGGAGCGCTCTTGTGCCGTCTCGGGTCTCTCGTGCGCCTTTCCGATGACCCTTCTGATCGCCTTGAGTCTGCTCGCAAGGCCCAGCAGGGCGCCCTGGGAGGCCTGGAAGGGCCAGCGGACCTTTCCTAAGGGCGTCCACGGGGCGTCGAGACGTCCGAAAGGGCGTCCGGGGCGTCCTTGGACGGGGGGTCTTGTTTAGGGGGGCGGGTAATAAGACTATTGGATTAAGCATATGTTATGTATGTGTATGTGTATATGTATGTATATGTATGTATATGTATGTATGTATGTATGTATGTATGCATGCATGCATGCATGCATGCATGCATGCATGCATGCATGTATGTATGTATGTATGTATGTATGTACGTATGCATGCATGCATGTATGTATGTATGTGTGTGTATGTATGTATGCATGTATGTATGTATGTATGTATGTATGTATGTATGTATGTAAGTAAGTAAGTAGGTAGGTAGGTAGGTATGTATGCATATATGTATGTATGTATGGATGCATGCATGTATGCATGGATGTAAGTTCGCATGTATGTATATGTATGTGTATGTGTATGTGTATGTGTATGTGTGTGTGTGTGTATGTATGTATGTATGTATGTATGTATGTATGTATGTATGTATGTATGTATGTATGTATGTATGTATGTATGTATATATGGATGTATGGATGTATGGATGTATGGATGTATGGATGTATGTATGTGTATGTATGCATGTATGTGTGTATGTATGTATGTGTGTGCATGTATGTATGTATGTATGTATGCATGCATGCATGCATGCATGCATGCATGCATGCATGTATGTATGTATGTATGTATGTATGCATGTATGTACACATCTGCATATTGTGTGATGTGCGTATGGACCAGTGGTGTCATGTTTATTGCCGGGATGGATGTGCGCAGTTTTCGCGTGACCGCAGAGTTGGATGCATACGCCTCTTTACGGTGGTTTGGTCCACGTATTTCCCGCTACGGTTAATTGGCGCAAGCACGGTGTCGATTGCCAGAGCGAAAACAAGGTAGCCTTCCGGGGGTCGACTCCTGATGAGCGCCAAGCCTCTATATTGGAAGGGTTGAGAGCTGGGGGGCATTCCACCACTTTTCGAGGACACGGATGAGGAACCTGAGGGATCGGAGGAGGAAGAGGGATGGGATGCGGCGGAGGCGCATCAGACTTGGGAGCAGCATCATCACGAGGAGCGGGATCGGGACGAAGAGGAGAAGAAGCAACAGCATAACGAGCAGGATGGGGCCGTCGATGTACTTCGCAGCGCCATTGTGGCACGCTGCAGAGTCAGAGTCGACACGTCGGCGCCGGATCGCACTGAATCTATGCAGGCAAGGCTTCTGGCAGTTCCCACTATCTCGGCCAAGCGGCCCTGGGGTGCGCTGTGCGAGCCGTTGCGCGGTCGGAGTGCCGCCATGGTCTCTGCGACACCGGTGACGCCACACTGGGTGGAACCATCGTCCGGATGCTTGGCCTTCTGCCGGGAGTCCCAGGAACTTCGGACGGCTGGCGGAGGCGTGCGTGAGGACGAGGAGGAGGAGGAGGAGGACGACGAGCGGAAACCTGAGATGGGGGAGGCCCAGGCCTCTGGCGCTCCGATTTCCTCGATGCGCGGGCATGGGCCTCTCGCCCCCCTTCGCTCGCCCGCGGCCAGCGCCTCACCCCGAGCCCGCTCCCGACGGCCCCGCGACGGCCCACGGCCGGCCTCCTCCTCCTCCTCCTCCTCCTCCTCCTCCTCCTCCTCCTCCTCCTCCTCCTCCTCCTCCCCCTTCCTCCTCCCCCTCCCCCTTCCTCCTCCCCCCCGCCTCCCGATGCCCCAGACTGGCGACGGCGTGGCCGCCGCGCCTTCCTCGAGGCGCCGGATGTCTGGGGGAGGAGGGGGCTCAGTGGGGCTTGTCCCTCTACAGGAGGAGTGTTCAAAAGTAGTTCAAGAATGGTCTGGGGACGATTTCTGGATTATGAGTGTTCAAAAGTGGTAAGAAAATGGTCTGGGGACGATCTCTGGACTACTTTGACTATGTGGTAGTTTTTTTTGTTATTATTCATATTTTTAATGTTTCGCCCAAAACCCGCCTGTAGGGGGACATGCCCGACCCAAGGATAGGGCTCTCTCGGCGGCCGCGCTTCGAGGTGTACAGCGGCGACAAGAACGTCAGCGTCATGGGCCGCCGCTTCCGCCCAGCCCTCGGCGAGGCAGACGGCAGGCCGAGGCCGTTCTTGCGCAGGTGCGCCGCGGGCACCGGCGCCCCCCCCCCCATCTCGAAGAGAGTCAGAGTCCGAGGCGGGAATTTGTACATGACCACCGCCTGGAGGGGTCAGTTTTCGGAGCCTCGGCAGGCGGTAGATATGGACATATTCGGGCCCCCGGGGGCCGAAGTATATCCAAATCTACCGCTCGCTGGGCCACCAGGACGTCGGTTCCCAGGCGGTGGATATGGATAAATCCCCGCCTGGCACTGCAGAGGAGCGAAGTAAGAAAAGAGCCCCAGTGCGACGATGCTGCACTCTCTGCTTACTGCTCTGTGGACTGTGGCGCGACTGTTCTTGGTCTCTGCATCATCTCGGGCGCTCGCACACCAACCCACGCGTACGCGCCCCTCTTTTGCGGGATTCGAGCACCGGCCTGCAGGCAGGACTCGATCTCAGCGTGCCGCGCCGCTGGTCCTGGCCCACCACGCTTCGGCGCGACGCGCCAGCTGCGGCCCAGCTCTCGGGCGTGAACGCTCCGAGCCTGTCCCTGCCTCCTGCTCCGCGGAGCGGAGCGACGCGCTCGTCGCTCGCAGGACACGTCGTGTCGCCAGGGCCGCCGCCGCGACACGCTGAGCAACACTTCCCGACCACAGCTCAAGCGCTCTGGCGCCGCACCCGCAGCACCCCGGACGGTGCCCGTGTGCGGGCGTGCTTCGTGCTTCGTGCCTCACCCACCGGCCCGCGCGCGTGGGCGCCCAAGCCTGGGGCTTGGGCACCGGCCCAGGGCTCGTTCCGCTTCCTCCGATTCGAGTCGATTCGATTTCGATGGCTTCCGATTTCGATTCGATTCGACTTGGGATTCCGATTTGGGTTCCGATTTTTTATTGGAGGCTAGCCAGCCTGCCGATTTCCGCCGATTCGACTTTTCTCGACTCGGCCGCCGATTTCCGCCGATCCGATTCATTTCGATCACCGATCCGACTTATCGATTCGATTCTTGGCTCCCCTGCCGGCCCAGGCAAGTGAGCACCGCCTGAGTCAGGTGTGGCCTGACCGACCCCTAGCAGACCATCCCCTTCCATGACGTCCCCCTTGCCTCGCCCCGAGACGTACGCGTGCGGCCGGAGGGAAGCTTGAAAAGCGAGGGTGACGTCACGGAAGGGGATGGTTCGCCAGGGGTCGGGTAGGCCGCGCCCGACTGAGACTTGAGCCCCGCTTCCTGCGGCGTGCTCGCGCAGCGTCGACGCGGCGGCGACCCGACCTTTTGCGCCGGGCTCTCAAGGCTGGACGCCGCCAGCAGCCCAGCATCGGCCGACATCGAGCAATCTTCGGAGAGCCGCGACCGTTCAATGCCAAACGCCGCCAGTAGCCCGTCATCAGCCGACATCGAGCGATCTGCGCTATCGGAGAGTCCCGATCGCTCAAGGTTGAACGCCGCCAGTAGACGAATTTTTCGGCCGACGTCGACCGATCTGCGCGTTAGGAGCCACGACCGCTCAAGGTTGAACGATCTTCGTGGTGTCCGAGACCAACGCGCAGGTCGCCACGACACGAACCTGCGATTTTATGGTCTTCCATCTCGTCCACTTCGTGCGCCTGTGGGATCTCAGACTGCGAGAGGGGCGGAGGAAAAGCAGTAGCATGGCTGCTGAAGGGCGACAGAGCTCCCAAGTTCCTTAGGTGAGCTCGCAGGACGTCCTTTGGCGCAACAGGCTAACATGTCGTATCGTCGACACCCTTCTTTGTGTCACAAACTTAGTGGCTCGGCGTTGGAACGACGCGACACTGGGAAAATAAGAATGAGGAGATGGTGGTGTCACACCAGCCAGGTCTCATGCCGCAGTGCTGTCATGTATGGCATGACTACGAGAATGCGCACCGCGTTGGCAATTGACCAGAGCTCGACTGGAGCTTCTATGCGCTGGCTCTGACGTCCCGATCGGCATCGCGTTATTCGAAATACAGCAGATTAATGTGGGTCGCGTTAAATGGTCGCGCGGCGAAACATATTCTATCAGCATCTCGCGTGGGAACGTGATCATCTTATGTGTGTCGCATGCTCTACGCTGAGCCTGCCCACCTGGCGTCACGCCGGGCGTGCTCTAGAGGACACGGGGCAGCTTCACTTAGCTTCTCGTCAGTGGATTCGGGACGAATTGGTCTGTGGGATTGGCGCGGGGGGGATGGAGTGGGCGCGAGTAACGCGATCTGGGGCAGCACGTGCGACGATAACACAGGCGGCGGGTATTGTCATAATTTGCAGGGTCAAGCTTAAGAATAGTGGAGATCCGAATGGGCCCAACAACAGGGTACGATCAGGTACTACTTTGAGTTCCTCCTGGGCCAAGCAAGTAATCAACTTCGATCTAGTAAGCAGTGCTCGTGCATTTTGGTTCTGGCTTCGCTCAGCCCAGAGCGGGAGAGAGGGCGGGCGTTTGGGGTGGACGGATCTGCAGGTCCTTGAGCTACTACAAGCGTGAGAAGTTTGGCCAGAAGAGCCCCTTCCCCGACATTCAGGAGTACAAGCTCATTTTCCGCTCGTTGTGCTTCTTGCAGGACCGCGCCCACAGCAGCCTTGGAAGCGCGTTGCGTAAGTATTCCTACCCTGGCCTCCCTCGGGTTGCGCCACCGTTTCTTATTTCCCCAGAGGGGAATCGGTTGCGAATTCTGCGCGCTTTGAGTAACCTCACCAGCTTATCTAGAAACGATGCCCAGGCGAGCTGCCCTGACCAGAAATGTGGAGGAACATGCAGTGGAATACAAGGCTGGTGAAGCCAACAATCCCCAAGAGGGGGAGGATGGAGGAGGAATCGGAGGAGGATGAGGATGGGAGGGGTATGGGGATAGGGGGAGGGAGATGAGAGGAATGCAGGAATGCAGTCAGAAGACTGCGTCTGCTCACAGACACAGCACTACCAGAAACTCCTCTGGGGGGAAATCAGGGACGCTGCAGGAAACCCTTCCTGCAGGACGGACCTGGAACCAACACTGCCCCTGGACCCCAGGCGCCGAGGAGTGGCTGCCGAGTCTTGGGATGACGGCACGCTTCCGGCTGGGCCAAGCTCCGCCTCCGAGGGGGGAAGAGAGAAGGACGGAGGGGGAGGAGGAGGAGGAAGAGGAGGAGGAGGAGGAGGAGGAGGAGGAGGAGGAGGAGAGGATGGTGATGATGATGCTGATGATGATGATGCTCCTGATGATGATGACGATGATGATGATAATGATGATGATGATGATGATGATGATGATGCTGCTGCTGCTGCTGATGATGATGATGATGATGATGATGATGATGATGAGGAGGAGGAGGAGGAGGAGGAGGAGGAGGAGGAGGAGGAGGGAGGAAGCCGAGTTCGAGGGAGCAATGAGAGAGCCACTGGAAAGAAGGAGGGAGGAGGCGGCAGAGGAGGAAGAGGATGAGGAGAAGGAGGAGAAGGAGGAGGAAGAGGAGGAGGAGGAGGAGGAAGAGGAGGAGGAGGAAGAGGAGGAGGAGGCGGAGGAGGAGGAGGATGAGGGGTTGGAATGATGATACTAAGCATCATCATTATAATACCAGTGGTATTCGTCATAGTATTCATAACTTTAGTACTACTACTAATAATAAAACTTGTCAGCGATTAATCATATCATCATTACTAAGACTAATCATACTAATCATACAATCAAAAGAATATTACGGCGAACATGAGTAATACGAATACGACCTAGAATGACAACACGACTACTACTTACTCGAATAATAATTCGCATAGAAACAATAGGAATGCGAAACCCATTACACGTATTAAGAAAATAATGCGAATACGAATGATTTCATTATTATTGTTGTGTTCGTTATTATCATTATCACTACCAATAAAAAGAAGCAGAGGAGGAGGAGGAGGAGGAATCTGTGGATGAGGAAGAGGAGGAGGTGTTGGAGGAGGATGTGGAGTAGGAGGGCGAGCAGAAGTACCAGAAGCCTCTCGGATGCCTCTCGGAGTCTCTTCGGATGTCTCTTGAGAGCTCCTTGGGGTCCTCTTGGGGCGTCTTGGTGGCCTCTTGGCGGTCCCAAGGGGCTTCCTGGAGCGTCTTGGGTGCCTCGGGGGAGTCTACTGGGGCTTCTTGGAGGTCTCTCGGGGCGCCTATCTGTGCCCTCGTGGGGCACTCTTGAGAGCCTTCGGGGCCATCTCGGGGCCATCTCGGAGGAGACCGATCAAAGAACGGGGGGGGGCGGGGGGGCTAAATTAGCGTCGCTCCGCTGGGTCCCTCTTGGAGCGCTCTTGGGGCGCTCTTGGGCACTCTTGAGGCCGTCTTGCAGACCTTTGGGGCTCCTCTTGGGGCCCTCCTGGACCATCTTGGAACCACCTTGAGGCCTCGGAAGGCCATTGGAAGCGAAAAGGCGAGGAGGCAAACCATATGGATTGCGAAGGCCTTAATGCCGGTGCCGCCGAACCTGAAGGGAGTCGACGACGACGACAATGGCGGCGGCGACGACGACGATGACGACGACGCTGACGTGGGCCAGAGTCCGCAGGCATCCTCGGAGTCTCTTCAGAAGGCTCTCGGGGGCCTCGGGGAGGAATTTGGGGGCCTCATTGGGAGCCTCTCTTGGGGGCCTCTTCGGGCTTCCTGGGGACCTCTCGTGGGGCTCTTGGGGCCCTTGGGAACCCCTGGAGGCCTCCTGGGAGACTCGGGGCCGAGGGCTCGAAATGTCCGCTCGGGTCCCCCGTCTGGGCACGCTCTTGGGGCCGTCTCGGGGGCCGTCTTGGAGGCGTCCAAGACTGTCCCGGGGTCCTCTTGGGCTGTTTGGGGCCCTCTTGGAGGGCGTCTTGGGGCGATCTCGGGGACCTCTTGCGCCGTCTTGGAGCGGCGGGAAGTGGAAGCATGCGAGAACGCCCAAATCTTTCAAACACCAACGGGAAATCAATGAATTTGGCCTCTTGGGGCCGTCTCGGGGGTGCTCTTGGGGGCTTCTTGGGGCGTCCTGGAGGCCTGGGAAGTCTGGAGGGCGTGCAGGTGTTTTGGACCAATCGTTTGGCGATTGGGGGCCCTCTTGGACTGTCTCGGGTGCCTCCTGGGACACTCTTGGCCTGTCTTGGCATTTTCTGAGGCCCCGGGACCCCCAGGGGGGGGGGGGATGCGCATCGAACCTCCGCCCCTGGGACCCCTTCCCGGGACACCCCCCCCCCGGACCTCCCCGGGACACCCATCCCCTACCCCTCCGGGACCAGCCCCACCACCCGACGGGGGAGGGATCAAGTGAAGGGACTTCCCTTCGACTCGAGTGCGACGTTGCTAGATTTTTCTCTCGCTGGCAAACTTGAGGAGGGTGCAGGGAAAGGGGAAGCCGGAGACAACGACGGACGGAGACGACAACTTGAACACAGAAGCCCCTCACACACGCCGACAGGGTCGGTGCATTTTCTGTGGGTGTTGATAGCAATTGGCTTCTTGGTGGCTCACTTGGGGGTGTTTCGAGGCCATTCGGAGCCGTATTGGGGCGGTCTTGAAGCTGTTTGGAGCATGCTGGAAGCCACCTTGAGCTATCTGGAGCCACCTTGAGCCATCTTGGAGGTCATCTTGGACGCTCTGATGCCTTCTTGGGGCCATCGAGGTCCACCTTCGACGCTCTGACCGCTCGCAGCCCCCCCGTTTAGGTCCAGGAGAGGTAGGGGGAGGTGTCAAGCTACCCACAAGCAACAAGCCGTCTCGCTCATTTCCGCCTGCCCTCACAACACATCAGCAGCACCCGAGTCTGAGCATGGACAGAGGCCACTATCGACAACCATCGGGAACCGATGCAGACACCAGCCAGGTGCGCGAAGCCCGCGAGGTGCGCCGCACATGCCAGCTGCGCCACGCGCACCAGGTGCGCCACATTGGGCAATATGTCGACCAGCCGTTCCTGACCAAAAGCAGTGCAAATAGACGGCGGGCTTGCTGTGCGGGTGTGCGCTCACGATCGCTTTGCATCTGTTTGACGGGCCTGCGCGCAGCAGGCAGTATGCTGCCCCCCCCTCGCCGTCCTTGGCAAGCCCCCCGTCTGAAAAGGATGGTGGGCCTGCACGCAAGAGGCAGCATGCCGTCACCTCCGCCATCTCTGATCGCGGGGCGTCCGCGCATGATCCAGGTTTTAGTGCAAAGTGCCTGTTGCATTGATTGTTTAAGAAGGGACGGTAAGGGGGTGTTGGCCTGCGCGCAGAAACCAATGTGCCGGCACCCCCGCCATCCCTGTCAAAAGCAAATGCAAAGTGATCGCGGGGCGTCCGCGCATGATCCAGGTTTTAGTGTAAAGTGAATTTTGCATTGATTTTTTAAGAAGGGATTGTGAGGGGGCGTCGGCCTGCGCAAAAAAACAAATGTGCTGGCACCCCCGCCATCCCTGTCAAGAGCAATTGCAAAGTGTCGCGGGGCGCCCACGCATGCTCCAGAATTTGGACGCAAAGTGTATTTAGCATTGTTTTTTTGAAATGGATGATATGGGGGGGGGGGGCAGCATGGAGCCACCTAGGTGTCGCACGGGTCCAGGTTGGCTGCCGGTCGGGTGGGGAAGGGGGGTGTCTATTCACAGGGGACAGTGATACGCCCCTCTCTGAAGGGGAAGAGGGGAACTATGGAAGAGGAATACCCTAAACCACCTCCGCCCAGAGGGCTGGCGGAATCGGTGGCCGCCCACCTGGTCCAGGGTGGCCAAGTATGTTGCGACTTCGTGGTGGCTGCCCACGGGGCCCAGGGTCCTGCTGGCCCGGTCTGCTGCGATCTTCGGGTGGTCGCCCGTGCAGCCCTGAGCCCCGCAGATCCCCACGGTAAGAGGCTACGCACGGTTCATACTTAATTGTTCGAAAGTTCTTTGATTTCTCGGGGAGCCAAGATCCTTTCATTTCTAATTGTTCTATCCTGGGCCTCTTCCTGGCCACTAGGGGGCCAGGAACAATTAGAAACGAGCACAATTAGAAATGAGCACGATTAGAAATTAATGACGTGTACCTGGCCGTCCATTTTTTGCGTCCGTCTCTCCCCCGCCTCCTCTGGCCCCTTTTTATACCTATACGACCACCCTTCGGGTGATAAGGAGGTGAGGGGGGAGGAGGAACCAACGTGTCACTCAATACATCTCGCGATCGATCCCACTATCGATCTCACTATCGGTATCACTCGATCGATCTCACTATCGATCTCACTATCGATGTCACAATCGGTCTCACAACCGATCTCATTATCAATCTGACTCAGTCGATCTCACTATCGATATCACTATCCATCTCACATTCCGTTTCACTATCGACCTCACAATCGATCGCACATTCGGTCTAACATTCGGTCTCACTATCGATCTCACTATCGATCTCACCATCGATCCCACATTCGGTCTCATAATCGATCTCACTATCGACCGCACTATCGATCTCACTATCGATCTCACTATCGATCTCACAATCGATCTTACCATCGACCCCACAATCGATCTCACTATCGATCTCACTATCGATCTCACTATCGATCTCACATTCGGTCTCACTATGGAACTGACGATCGATATCACAATCAATCTCACAATCGATCTTACAATCGGTCTC